AAAATATACGAACACTTTGATAAAAAAACGACCATGCCTGGAAGTATTTATCGATTTGGCCAAGGCCTTCTATACCATTAGTCATGAAAAATAATTTCCGAAATCAAATAATCTTGGTATCAGAAGTCTGGCAAATGATCTAATCAGAAACTTCTACAATGAAAGAGTACAAATGGTTGAAATAGACGGTGTACTGAGCGACTTATTAGAAATTAAATACGGAGTACCCCAGGGCACTGCTTTAAGGCCAATCCTGTTTATATTATTGTTGAATGATATGGAAAAATGGTCTCATATGCTGATGATACAGTACTTATAATTGATGAACGAACCTGGGAATATGTTATATCTCATACAAGAAACGATATTGACACTATAGTGAATTGGCTTCATGATAGTTTACTGAAAATAAATAGTGATGCAGCATCTTACATTTCATTTTGTCGTAACAGTCATGATTTTCCCAATGCACAAAACATCAATATTCATTTAACTAACAGAAATAAGAACATAACTTTGAAAAAACCTAGTTCAGTGAAATATTTCGGACCACATTGATCATAATCTCAATTGTAACATACATATAGACTATCTTTGTAAAAGACTCAGAGCCCTTTTTTATGGTTTTCGAAGACTTAATAATATACTGAGTATCAATGATTTGCGCAGTATATATTTTTCGTTAGCTCAGTCACTCTCAATGTATGGAAATCTAGGATGGGGTGGGGTCTATAGTATAACTGTACAACCGCTTACGGTACTAAACAAACGATTCCTCAAAATTGTCTATAATTTAAAATATCTTTATTTGAAACAATTAATAATATTTATATTTCACAGAAATGAGATCAAAAAATCAACAACATGGATATGAAACCCGACTCAAAGCGAGTGACCTAGATATACAGAAAATGAACAAAGGCTATTAGACAAAGATCAATTACATAAATTGGACCCAAATCATTCAATCTTGCTCCAGATCATATGAAACTTGGAATATGTGTTTAAGTTATTCGAAATTTCAGTGATTAAATGACTCAAAAGTGAAAATACAACCTTACTATGAACAAATTCTACTTAATTAATGTCCCAATTTTCATATATATTTTTCACCCCTACCTAGCATTTTGAATACTTTCAATTTAAAACAGGTTTGTATTTCATATTGTAACATTCATATTTTCATCCGTTTACACATTCAATTTTTTTCGTTTTATATTATATACACATTTAGAGATTTTATAGTTTCAAATTTTAAATTCAATGTGCGTTTTTTAGAACATACACGTGAATAANAAAAGATTTACCCATATTTAGCGGTGAAATAACAGAGTGGCCAAGTTTCTACCAACAGTATATTTTCACGACAAAAATGTTGGGTTTGTCAAGTGAAGAAAATATGTGGTGTGTTGAAGGTTTACTGTTGTCCGCTTCATCGGTGAGTACAGTTATTGACATTTTGATAAGTAAATTTGGTAGATCAGACCTAATAGTTAGAAGTTTAGTCAATAAAGCGAAGAATTTGGCAGTTATTAAAAACAACGACTATAAGAGTTTGAATAATATTGCAGATGAGGTTTCCAATTTGGTTGTTACACTTGAAGCCATGGAAATGACGAATTATTTGAGCTGTCCGCAGATTCTTGAAGAAATGATACAGAAGTTACCATTTTCAATGCAAATGTCCTGGGGAGAAAAAACAGCAAAGGCAAGAGGTCAAAACACTTTGGTGGACTTCAAGAATTGGATTTGGGAAAAGGCAGAAGCTGCCAGCTATGTTCAATCAATTGTGAATGTGAGACTTCCAATCAAATCCTAAATAAAGATAGATATAAATCCACTTTTAGTAACTTCTCAGAATTCTCGAATTTCCTCAGTAAAGTGTTTATTTTGCAAAGGAGAACATACATTAGAAAAATGTTCGAAATTTTTGAACTTGCCAGTTTCTGAAAAATGGAGTTTTGTTAAAACAAATGATATATGCTTTTCTTGCTTTTAAAATAACCACAGAATCAAAAATTGTCGGTTCAAAAGGAAATGTAGAATCAACAATTGCGAAAATTTGCATCATAAAATACTTCATAATGAATCTTTAAAGAAAAATGTTGAATCAAGTTATATCGTTTCTCAGGAAATTGTAGCTCATACCTCTCAATCATTTAATTCTGAAATTTTGCTTAGAAAAGCTCCAGTTATAATAAGGACTCAAGAAAAAGAGATGAAAATTTATGCCTTATTTGATGAAGCTTCTACATTAACTGTGATAGATGAGGATTTAGCAAATAATTTGAATATACAGGGTGAAGATACAACTTTAGGCTTAAAATGGACATATATAGAATCATGCAAAAAAGTAAATTATAGGAAAGTTAGTTTCGAAATTTCTGACAAGGATAATAGTTATTTATGTATCAAGGGAATTAGGAGGGCCTTAATTACCGATGGCAAAGTTTGCGTCCCGAGGGCCTCTGGCCCGAGGGACAGCAATTGCCTGAGGTTATTAAGGCTCATTAATTCCCGTGGTACATAGATAATTTTATTTCTGACCGATTTCAATAAAATTTTGTTCATTTTTGAAACGGAAAAATGTACCAATTCATTACCTTCCCGGTATATTTGAATCAGGTACCGTTGATTATAGTAGAGTTTTCTTGTTGCTAGGTTGTTGCTATGTTACTTGTTTATAAACAGAACTTTGTTATCANGACATTTCATCTCCATTCTCTGCACAATACATCAAGAACAGAAATGCATTGGAATTTGAAGAAGTATACCCTGAAGCTGCTGATAGCATTATAAATCGTCACTATATGGATGATTACCTAGATAGTGTTTCTACAAGCGCCGAAGCAACAAAACTCATTGAAGAGGTAATAAAAATACATGAGTCAGGTAGTTTTCAGTTAAGAGGATGGATTTGCAATTCAAAAGAAGTGTTGGAAAAAATTCCAGAGTCACTTGGGGGGAAAGATAAAATACTGAATGACAACGGTTCACAGAGAGTTTTAGGAATGAAGTGGATGTCCAAAGAAGATGATTATTTTTTTCATTAAATTTCCACAACGTTAATAAAGATATTTTGACTGGTTAGATTCATCCTACAAAAATAGATATGTTGAAAGTAGTAATGTCACTTTATGATCCTCTAGGTTTAGTGGGACATTACGTAATTAAGGGAAAAATATTGATACAAGAAGTATGGAAAAGCGGTTTTAATTGGGATGAAAAAGTTCCTATTGAATTGAATGAAAACTGGTTAGAATGGATCAGTGATTTGAAACAAATTAAACAATTGGAAATATCAAGATGTTATAGCTTTGAAATAACCCAAAATACTTCTTTGCAGTTACATATATTTTGTAATGCCAGTGAGCAGGCATTTTGTGCAGTAGGATATTTCAGAATTCACATCGCAGGTATCACAAAAGTGTTCTTGGTAATGTCGAGAACACAAATTTCCCCAATAAAGCCATTGGCAATACCAAGTCTGGAACTTCAAGCAGCGGTGATGGGTTCTCGATTAGCAAGACACATCAAGAAGGAACACTCACTTGAAATCAATAAAACATTTTTCTGGTCAGATTCAAGAATAGTTCTCTGTTGGTTGAGATCAGAGACCAAACGTTTTAAGACTTTCATTGCACATAGAATGGAAGAAATTCAGGAAAATTCTAACATCTCTGATTGGCATTGGGTACCTTCCAGTATGAATGTAGCAGACGAAGCCACCAGAAGCACCAAGAAAACCAATTTGAATATAGAAGATAGTTGGTTTCAGGGTTCAAAGTTCTTAGATCTTAATGAAGAACTCTGGCCAGAATCAGACAAAAATGTATCATGCATTTCTACCGAAGAAATTGAGAAATCAGAGTTAAAGCAAGATTTCATTTTATTGCACTGTTAAAATTGATTGTTCACCTGATATTACTAAATTTTCATATTATAACAAGTTGCTTCGAGTTACAGCCTATATGTTTCGATTTATCGAAAACATGAAGAAAAAGGGAAGATGTTTGAAGAAACAGAAACTCACATGGCAAGAACTTCAGAAAGCGGAGAGAGTTTGGTGCATGAAGGTTCAGGAGAATTGCTTCTCAGAGGAAGTGAAATCATTGAAAAAGACAAACGAGGTACTCAAAAGTAGTAAGTTATTTAAATTATCATCTTGCATTGAAGATGAAGTCATTTGCTTAAGGAGTAGGATTGATTATTCACCTGAACTTTCTTATGAAACAAAACGTCCAATAATTTTGTGCAATTGCCATCTTTTACCAAATTTTAGTTGCCTATTATCATAGGAGAAATGGTCATGCTGGACTACAATTTACATTAAATGAATTAAGACAGAAATTTTGGATTTTGCAAGGTAGGAAATTAATCTCAAGAATTCTAAGATTATGTAATTTGTGTGAAATTAAACGTGCAAAACCGCAAATACCGGAGATGGGACAGATTCCAAAAATAAGATTAACAAGACCACCAAGACCATTTAGTTTTGTAGGCATGGATTATTTTGGTCCCATGAAGATTTAATAAACAAAAGTTTAGTAGCACAAGAAATTAATTGGAAGTTTATTTCTCCAGCAAGCCCTCACTTTGGAGGAGCCTGAGAATGGACGGTAAGGTCCGTTAAAAACGCACTACGACAAGAAGTACTCCAAATTTTACTATCCGAAACTGAGTTTACAGTCAATAGTCGACCTCTCACATATGTTTCCTCCAATCAAGAAGGTAATGAAAGCCTCACACCTAATAATTTTCTGATAGGATCATCAAGCATTGCCAAGCCACCTATCGTTGTTGATATTACCAACAAAAATTTGAGAAAGCAATGGTACTTTGCACAGCAATTGTCCGAATGTTTTTGGAGCAGATGGGTTCGAGAATATCTGCCAACTCCCATCAAGAGGTCCAACTGGTTTGAAGAGACAGCCAACCTGAAGAAAAATGACATAGTGGTGGTGATGGATAATAAGCTTCCGAGAAATAACTGGCCTGTAGGTAAAATAGTGGAAGTTTATCCAGGAAGAGACGGAAGAGTACGAGTTGTGAACGTACAGGTTCAGAGGAGTATTTATCGCAGACCTGTAGCTAAATTATGTCTTTTAAGTGCCAAAAACACTTGAGATGTTGAAAGTGGCATACGGTGATTGGACTCTGAGTCAGAAAAATGTTTGCAAGTAGTACGAACTCTTCACAGATGGACAAAAAGATGCCAATGACGGCGCTCGCCCTGGACGCCCCAGAACATCAACAACCGATGAAACCGTTGAGAAAGTGAATATTGTTATGAAAATTCGTCGAATCACTATCAGGAAAGTTGCTGAAGCATATCAGTTGGCTCATGTAATTTTTTTGTAAATTTTCCAATTATCGGCATGAAGTGGTTGACAGCGAAGTTCACCCAAAAATTCCTGAATTCTGACCAAACAAAACATTGGATTAGAATCTCTCAGGAATTGTTGAATAGAGTTTGAAGGGGTAATAACGTAACGAACTCTAGTCTCCTCAATGAAAAAGCCCAGGAGATCTAAGACCAAAGAAACACACCGGATTCGATTCAATATCAAGGTTTTGCTTACTTTTTTCTTCAATTTCCGTAAATCAGGAGTCCTCACCACATGGTCGTACGGTCAATGAGCAGTATTATCTTGAAGTTATGCGCCGCTTCAAAGAAGCAATACGAAGAAAACGTCCGGTATTGTGGACAAACAATTTATGGCTTTTGCATCACGATAATGCACCTGCTCCCTTATCATTGCTTGTTCGTAATTTTTTGGCCAAAAAAAACACCGTAATCATGCTTCAGCCACCGTACGAACCAGATTTGGCACACTGCGATTTTCCCTTGTTCACTTGATTGAAGAGACTCATGAAAGGACGGCGTTTTTCGACAATTGGAGAGATAAAAACCGAATCGCTGGAAGAGCTCAAGGTCATACCAAAAAGGGCATATCGAGGAGAAAAACGCTGCCACAAGTGTAAAACATCTGAGGGGAACTACTTCGAATAAATGAATATTTTTTGATAAAAATGAAAATTCACTTCATTTTTTGAACAGAGTTCATATCTGTATTTGTATTCATATAATTATCACGTATCAAGATAACTTGTTGATATGTAGAACACTGATATAAATGAGACGGATACGAATGCCAATCAAGACGTCATATTTATGACGTGTATTTACAGGAGCAGTAACTCACAAAAACGTATTCTGCTCATTCAATCAACTTTCAAAACATATTACGGAAACTTGTTCAATCTGAAACAATGCGGATTAGAGTCCCAACATTACCTGTAAATATGAGTTGAATCGGTAATAATGCTGCGAGCTGCAGGCCAGCAAAATTTATAATCAATATCTGGTATAAATAGTGAAACGATGTTGGACTTCAAGTGCCTTCCTGTAAAACTTCGAGATATTGAACTTTTTCGAAAAAATGTTGTTAGACTTGATAATAATTGATACTATGTCATATGAGTTACGAACAATAGAAATAAGATTCGAGCTCGCTCCCTTATTATACAATTTGCTTCACAATTTCGAATGAACAATAGAGTCGAATTCCCTCTCAAAGTCGATGAATGTCACAGAAAATTGAGGAACGCATTATACAAAACCTCTATTGAAATTATGGCTTCGCTTTGGAACCATAAAGATAATTCAAGTGAGAAGTTTTGAAGATCATCATCAATCAAATATTCGTATTCATATAGTTTTCATGAATCAAGGTAACGAATGTAAATCGAAACGTCATAAATATGCGAGTAAAAACGTTCAAAAACCCATTTTTTTTATTCAATCAACTCTAAAGACATGTCACCGAAACTTTTCCAGTCTCAATCAATGCGGCCATCGAAAGTGATAATCAATATCTGATATGAATAGTGAAACGCAGGTTCTCCCTGTGAAAGTCCAAGATATTTATCTGTCGTTGTCGAATCAGCTAGCAACATGGCACCGCCTAAAGCACATAATCAATCAGCAAAGTATCATCTAACTGGAACAGTAGAAACACGCATGTATTTAGGGACCATTACACGTTCAGTAATGATGTCATTTACAGAAGGGCAAAAGTGCTTCGACAATTGGTTCAAACACATGCAAAAGTGTAAAGATCTTCATAGGAAATATTTCGCAAAACAATAAAGTGATTTTCGATGAATAATATTTGTTTTTGTTTCCTTATCCCGAAATATAAAAGGCAACCCTCGTATCCCGATTATTTTATAGATCTGTAGGAAGTAACACTCCTTAATTAAAAACTATTTGACATATAAATTGTCCATCTCAAAATAAAATATTTGAACAAAATCATTTTTCACAATATCTCAAATATCTTCGCATCATACAGAATATATCATTGGAAAATTCATATTGATACCCCAAGGCCAACGCCTAATAATACTATCTTTAACGCAATATGAGAAAAACCGTCGGCCGCCTCTTTTGATGTTGTCACTTTTTTACTGGCTCGTTAGTGGCCTCCTCAAGAGGCATAGGAGATAGAAATATCTCAGTTACTTTGTGGATTAATTGCATTGCCACTTGCTTCAGACGACTATGTTGCCTTCTTTGGTGTACCGGCATGTTTGCATTCCTGAAATTAGTTCACTCTCAGATAATACCCAATGTAGAATCAACCGACTTTCTGTCATGGAGAAAAGATTCGCATGTGATTTAGAATTCAAAAAACGATATGCAATTTTTATGAGTGAATATAGGGAACTCGAACATATATCGGCTATAAATTTCGTAGCTTCTACAGAAATAAAATGTTATTTGTAGCTTTGTAGCATCAATACGGACATAATCTTAGTACAGAACTTCGAGTTGTCTTTGACGCGTCTTGTCCCACAAACTGAAGTTTATCTTTACAACATATAAGGTGTCTTTCTCTCTGAGTATACAGGGCATTTGCTTCCATGTAGACGGTTTTGGTCAGAAATATAGGGCAAATCTGAAATCTTTCCTATTTTACTTAAATTTCGACAGCACAACGTGGTATTCATCGTTGGTATATAAATAATGTATATAGACAAATCATACCAAACAAAACACAATGCGATCGTCAAAGATTGAATAATTGAAACAGCTCAGGTTTATCTTTAAATGAAATACTGATACTGATNTATGCTTTTATAAATACATGTAATTTGGTGATTATTCAACTACTGCTACTACTACTAACACAACTTTACAATTGTTATTATTTTTCTCTCTAGTTTTCGTTTCACGTATTTCAATCTGATGTACCAACTTTCTACTGTTCCCCGCTGCTGGCAGACTCGGAATGAGAAGACATAAAAAGCAGCATTACTCTGAATTGAAAGAGATACCGCAAGAGTTATATTTGTCCGCCAAGGAAAACGCAATTTTGCACATGGCCTTCTTCTCTTTGAATGTTGCATTGTCTCCAAGTGACCGTAACAAATATCCGTAATTCGAAGTTTCCATTGTGAGCAGAAAACTTCTGGTCGGTAAAACAATTTTGACTCTGTCTTGTTTATGAAACTTCTGGGGACTGCTATATTATTTAAGAGCAGAACTTAATGTACTTCATGGTAAGAACTGTTTGTCACGAAAAGAAATTCAAACAAATAACTCCTTGTTGAAGAAAAATGACTACAATTTCATTCCTTATAAACTGAAAATGGTTTTTATATGGGGATATTTGGTAGGAAAATGTTTTGAATAATGGAAATCATTAATGCAGTTGTCACTAAACCACCTGGAACGAATCAAGATAGTTTGCTTTTACAGTACTGACATTTGATCATTCAAANCATTAATGCAGTTGTCACTTAACCACCTGGAACGAATCAAGATAGTTTGCTTTTACAGTACTGACATTTGATCATTCAAAAAAATAGTTTACTTTCACTATAATACGCGAATGA